CCACCAAAAGGGGAAAGAGAAAGAAATGGGAAAGTTTCCCGATCCCATCTGTGGGGGTGGGTAAAAAAGAAACTTGTGAAGGGGTTGGTTTAGTTTGGCTTTGCCCCGCAAACCCTTGAATTTTTGGTGCCTAATGACAATAAGGGATGCAGATTAATACTTTCAACACCAGAGAACTTGGTTTAAATTTGAATGTTATTTTGATTGATGTAATTAATTCATGACTGATATGTTGAATAATCTATTACAATGAATTTCATGATTCCCTAATATATAGAAGAGGTGTGAGTGTTTGTAGTGGTAAGGAGTAGGGGGGGGTGAAGATGGAGGTGGTAGTGTGTGTGGTTAGGTTTAGTGGAGTAGGTGAGGTGGTTAAGGTTGTAGTGGGTTTAGGTTTAGTGGAGTAGGTTTAAGTGGGTGAAGTAGGTGGAGAGTAGGTGGATTTAACAGCCCCGCAAATCAGGGGGATCAGGAATAACAAATTGAGTTTGAGAGAGTAACAAACAGAAGAAAATACATAAATAAGAGGATAGAGACACTGTACTGGTCGTGTAGACATTGTTGAAGACACTGTGATGTGGTTTCTAACGTTGTAGAGGACATTATGTGCTAGTTGTGAGGCTGTTGGGATCCTAACCGTTGTAGAGGACACTGTATTGGTGGTTCATAATTGTAAGAAGGCACTGGATTGCGTGTGGTCAGCCGATTGTAGAGACCAGTTTATGGGTCCATGTCGGACCGTTGTAGCAGCAATGTTGAAGTGTTGGACAGTTTAGGTTCAACACTGGTAACGGCAACATGTTGTGACAGTTAAGATCTTGCTGGACCCTTGTAGAAACTAACCGGAATGGGCATTTAGTCTTGTGCATGAAAGTACGTATGTCGGACAGTAGAGTCTTGTCGGACCTTGTAGAGAGACTACGCGGAATCTATGTCGGGACCAGTTTACAGAGTCTGTGTCGGACCTTGTAGAAGCTACGGAATTCATATGTCGGGACGTTACAGAGTCTTTCGACTAGGACGCCCTAAAAGGTGGCCCAACATAAAAGCTCACAAGGCGTGCCAATCTTCAAAAAGGCGTGTGCATCAAAAGGCGTGCTCACTAAAATCATAACAAGCGTTGCCCATGGCTAAAAGATGTGCGAAACGCTGTGGAGCACGGATGCTTGGCTTCATGGCGCACGCTTTTGTTCTGGAGTCATGCAGCGCGCGATAGCGATGGTCTGCCATTCGCTATTTAACCAGTTGAGCGAGGCTGATGCAAACAGTAAACGAAATCATCTGATCATTGTAAAATCTCTTAACTGAAAAACTTTCTTTACTGAGAAGATACCGTTATAGTCTGTGAATCACGTGCTTCTGAAACACTCAGCACTACATGGCTCTTCCTTCCCGCTCCAGTACGCAGAACTGGCAACTGCTCTTCCCGTGGTTGCTCACCGTCTTTTCCAGACTGAACGATCACAAGAGATAACTAGTGCGGTGGCCAGTGAACCTCACCAAACACCGGTTTTGCTCCGTTCGAACTTTTCCGATGGCAGGTCCGGTGGGCAAAAAATGGAGTCAGAATCGATTGGGCCATCGTAATACATCTGATAGTCTGTGTAAGGAAACATGACTGCGGTCAACAACTGTCGAACCGGCTTGCAGAGAGGAAATGAGGTGCAAGCAGTTAACGCCCAACTGGCTCTGTCCAACGCATGTATAGGATGCGCGAGCTAGAGATAGTGTGCTAAGAGGCGGAAAAGGAGTGAGCGGAAGGGCCACCGTATGTTCCGATTTGGAAGGTATACGCATATGCTGATACGTGAGGAGAGCAGGGATGGGTGGAACTTGCTTCGACTGGTCAGGGAAGAACGGAGGCAACACATGGCAAGGGCGCCGGACAGAGAGGCAAGAAGAAAGACGCGGAATAGGCGAAGAAAGTGAGGTGGTGGTGGTCGTCTGCAAAAAGAAAACAAATCTATTGTGGGTGTTTTAGTTTGTTTTTGTTTGTTTTTTGTTTTTTTTTTTTTGTGTAAATATGTGATCGGGATTGATCCCTGAGTGAATAAATATGGTTTGTGGTGCAAAGCTATTGGTATTGAATGAATTTGAAAAGATTAAAAAATATGTGGAAATGAAAAATAAGAAAGAAATAATAAGAATAATATTGGAAATCGGCAATGGTGTTCGGTATATATATATATTGTTTTTTTATTTTTTATTTTTTTTGGGTTTAATAATAATAATAATAATAATATATTAAGGAGGAAAGCATGTGCGCGGGTGAGAGTTGTATAGAAAAGAGATAAAGATAGGTGTGATAAAGAAAAGAATGATGGTGGATATGATTAAAGTGGGTCTGGTGGAGAGAAAAAGTAACCTGAGAGAGAGGGAGTGGACTTTTGTGCTTGTGTGTGTGTGTATATTTGTGTAGTTTTTTTTTTCAGCCGAGAAGGAGAGAAGATGAGAGTGCAGGTTGGGGCTGGTGCCTCCTCCTCTTCCTCACCAGCTTCTTCTTTGGGCTTTGCTGGTTCCTTCTTCGCTTCTTTCTTTGGCTCATCCTTAGGCTTTGGTTTTGCAGCTTCTTTTGGTGGGGAAGGCTGCTTTGTAGACTGAACAGGTGGAACTTTTTCCGCTCCTCAAACGAGTGGACTTTCAAATTTGAACTCATATCTGCCACTAGTGGGGGAGAGAGGTTGAGGGAGCTCACGTGACGGAAAGCGTAGCACGGGACGCCGGACCATGTGCAGTGGCTGGTGGAGATGTTCCAGCTGGAGAGAAATGATTGGGTTTGGTGGGTGGAGTCTTGGGGTGAAGGCTGAGTCGAAGCAAAGATAGGATAGGGCTTGGTTTGAGGAAATGAGATGTCTTCGTCGAAGAAGATCACGCTGAAGAGCTCCGACGGAGAGGCGTTCGAAGTGGAGGAGTCGGTGGCGCTGGAATCGCAGACGATCAAGCACATGATCGAGGACGATTGCGCCCACAGCGTCATTCCTCTCCCCAACGTCACCAGCAAGATCCTCGCTAAGGTCATCGAGTACTGCAAAAAAGCACGTCCAGATTTCCAAGAGTACAAAGCCAGCAAGCCACTACAAAGACTGGTATATAGGAGGGTACATTGAATTGGTACAAACAGGGCATTCGAGAAGCTCCTGGACGCTCGTGGTGGGATGAATCGCAGAAGATACAACATTGTTGTGAGGCTTCGAAGAAGGAAACTGAGAGTGATGAAGATGAGGAAACAAAGAAAGAAGAGTTTCTGGTATGTGTTGAAAAATTCCAACGGGCAACGAAGGCAAGGTTGCCGGTCGGCTGCCCGCCGGAAAGAAAGGAGTATAGGCCTAAATCTTATAGCTCTGATACCATGTTAAAATTGATGTATTATTGATTGATGTATATTCATGACTGATATGTTGATATCTATTACAATGATTCATGATTCCTATATATAGAAGAGGGTGAGTGTGTAGTAGGTAAGGAGTAGGTGAAGTGGAGGTGGTAGTGGTGTAGTGGGTTAGGTTTAGTGGAGTAGGTGAGGTGGTAGTGGTGTAATGGGTTAGGTTTAGTGGAGTAGGTTTAAGTGGGTGAAGTAGGTGGAGAGTAGGTGGATTTTAACAGAACTTTAAGACATTAGAGAACTGTAGAAGTGAAGTTTGCAATGCACTTGGAATAGCAGGGGATTGAAACCAGACGCAAGGAAGGCCGGTGTCGCGACGGAGCTTCGGCAAAGGGACATCGACGTGCAAGCGGCGGTGGTCTCCGGCGATTGAACAGTAGTGCACTCAGAAAGGAAATTTCAAGGTATGTGTAGAAAATTTTAGCGGACTAGGTAGGTTGAGATCCGGCGGGCGGCCAAGGCGAGGTTGCCGCCCGCCGGTGAAGCGAAAAATACTAAATTCTTAACCTTGCTCTGATACCATGTTAAAATATTGATGTATTATTAATTGATGTATGTTGTTAATTACAAATGGTGAGGGGCTCCTTATATAGGAGATGTAGTGGAGTAGGTAGTAGTAGGTGGTAGTGGTAGGTGTGTAGTAGGTGGTAGTAGGTGGTGGTAGATGTAGTAGGTGGAGTAGGTGATGGTAGGTTTTAACAGGATGTCCAATTGCATCGACCTTTACATGCAGCTGCGCATTTTCTTAACCCAGAATTCTTTTACCCAAAAGCGTTAGAGGTGCAAAGAGATCATGAAATGATGAATGGGTTTTATGAATGCATGCAAAGGTTGGTCCCGGATGTCACTGTTCAAGATTTGATCACTAATGAGATGAGTATTTATATGAAGGCTGAGATTCTTTTTGGCAAGGCTGTTGCGATTAGGTAAAGAAATACAAGAGCACCAGGTAATAAATTATAGACTCATAGAGTTTATTTTTAGTAATACTTTTAGTAAAACTTAATACTTGGTAACATTTATTTCTAACTAGTGGATTATCGCAGCTGATTGGTGGGCATCATATGGTTCTTATACTCCAAACTTGCAAACTTTTGCCATAAAAGTCCTTAGCCTAACATGTAGTTCATTGGGTTGTGAACGAAATTGGACTGTATTCGAACATGTGAGTATTTAACATTCTACCTAATTTTTTGTTCAATTCAAATATTTTTTATTCTCATTATATAGAATTTAATATCTTTTTAATACTTGCAGCTTCATAGCAAGAAAAGAGATAGATTGGAACAACAACGTCTCAATGACTTAGTGTATGTCAAATACAATAGAACATTGAGATTTAGGTATGACATGCGCAACACTCTTGATCCCATATCTTTGCAAAATATTGATGAAAGCAATGAGTGGTTGCTTGGGAGGATGGATGGAGAATCAGATGAAAATAATGAGCCTGTGTTTGATGATGATGATGGCTTGACGTGGGCCACTGTTGCTAGAGCTTCTGGAGTAGAAGAAAGTAGCCATGCAAGTAGAGCAACAAGTTCACGCTCAAAGGCACAACCGAGGATAGCTAAATCATCAAGATTAACTCCACTTCAATTAATAGATGAAGAGGAAGCGGGCTCAGATGACACAGAGGAGGAAGATGTTGAGGGATACAAATCAACTGATGGAGAAGAAGATGATAGTTTGCTTGCCATTGATGTTGAGGATGATGATTGACTGACACCGACCTAACCTACCCTTGCTTTTGATATTGATGTTTTTAAGTGTTAAGTTAAGACATATATTAATATTTGTTGGATATTTATGTTTTGGATGTTTAGTGTTTATGTTTTTATTTTATTGAATGTGGATTATTTGATCTTTGAAAATTGAAATGTTATGTAATATGCACTTTCATGGCTTTGAGAATTATTCTATATTTTGTCTTGAATCTTGATTACTTTTTATTTTTAAAAAAATTGTCTTAGTACTATGAATGATTAGTCTATATTAATTTTTCTATTTTTTACGAAAACTGGGCGCCTTACTTCAATAAAGCCCGCACCTTGCCTTGCGCCTAGGCCCCGAGAGACCTTCAGCGCCTTAGTGCGCCTTGAGCCTTTAAAAACACTGGGAGGGTTACTTTGGTCAAGAGTATCTTGTCGAGTATCCCGACTTATTTTATGTCGTTTCATGTGATTCTAGTGGTAGTTGCAACGCGGGTTGAGAAGTTATAGCAAGATTTTTTATGAGGAGATGAGGGGGAAGGGTTCTCATTCTCATTTGGTGGCGTGGGATCGGATAAATGTGTACATATAATCATTGTCTTACTGTGAATTGTTATAACCAAATGTTGATGTGAACTTTAACATTTCCTTCTATATACATTGACATATCTAATATTATATGGATGTGTAAATATCAATATTCAGTATGATCACTCCTATTTATACCCTAGCAGTAATGTGAATATTCACATCTCTATTGATGTGAATGTTCACATTATTATGTTTATCACCTAAATTTTTGTTGCTTTTGCTTATATGAATATCGTTAAATGTGAACATCCACACTGGCTAATGATGTGTTGATGTCAATCTGCATGCCTACCCTATCAATTCTATTGAAATCAAATTTAATGTTCATATAAACACTTACTATTTGTTCATACCAATGTAACAGATGTTGTATCTAAATTTTGCACAAAGAGAAAGAGGGAGAAGTATCATGTCAAAGAAGAGAGCATGCCTCTAGAGAGCAAACACCCACATCAACATGCTGCATGTCAATTATCAATCAAACATTACAGGCTTTGTAAAATTGATAACAAGCACCAAGTTCTAGGATCCTCAGCTGGATTATTTAAGGCAAACTCTGTTGTTCGATGGTTGGGGTTGTCCACCATACACTAGCTATGCCAAATCACAGTGATGTTTTTTTTTTTTTTTTTTTTGGGGGAATATAAAAAAAAAAAAAAAAAAAAAACAACCAACCAATAAAGAACGGGTTCAAAAGAGGTGAAAAAAAGAAAAAAAGAAAAAAGATCTCATACATTTTTCTAAACAAAATTATAAAGCATCGTGTAAAGTGAAATTTTTTGAACTGGGGGTTTGGGGTTCGGGTTGCACCGACTCCATATAAAATGCCCTAAAAATTTAAGGGTTCACGTTCACGTATCAGTGACAGCAGCCGGCGGCGAGAGCAATCTGCACTACGTTCGGTTTCGCTATTCCGGCAATATCTTTCATACTTTACCTCTTTGAAGGTTTAAAATTGCATACTTTAATTGTTATTATGCTAGTTCTTATATTGAAAGTCACACAATATACGAGTTTGTGTATATTTCAATCTTCATATATCACCAAATCATCCTGATGAGTTTCTGCGATACTTCTATTTGTAGATGCTTTGTGGGTTTTCGTTTCTACTGTTGAATAGCTTGCTTGCTTGTATCCATGATGTGTCCCAGTGATTGTTATTAGTATTTAGTTTTCCCTTTTTATTCTTCTCTTTTTGATTCCTCTTAAAAATCTCATGTATTCTCTCCCCTCTCTATCATTTAAATGGAAATATAATTTTTCAAACAATATTAGGAAAAATTATCTTTAGGTTCGTTATGTTCATAATTTCCAAGTGAAATCTTGTAGTCAATCTATGTTCAGTGTCAATTTTATCATCTTGATGGAATCTTTATTGAGAATTTACTTAAGTTTATCTTGGCATCCTTTTTTTTTCCATTTCAATGTTTTGTATTTTTTCTTAACACTTGACAGTGACTTGGCATAATTTTCCATTTAATACTCTTTCAGCCACATTTACCTTTACGCGTCACATGCCGCGTCTCTAGAACTAATTTATGTGTAGCAGATGCTGTCACCAAACTGCAGAATTATAATAAATTTACAGACATAGGTGCATTGTTATTTCACTTGCTTTTCTGTCTTTTGGTATAACTTTAAATCACTATCTCTCTCAAGCACACACGCTACATGTGTACGTAAATATGTTTGTATTTATGTATTTTTATTTATATTTTCAATATATAGATGGGTTTCATTGTTTATGCAAATGTGATGCATATATTCGTGTAAAAATAATTATATAATTCTTGTCACTATGCTTCTTTATTTATTTCCCTGGTATGTTGGTGCAAAGACTGTGCATATGATGGCTTACACTTGATCTCTGAACTTCAGGTAAGTTTTCCTGTTGAGAATTCTTAACCACTGATGCTGTAAGATTTAATCTATAAAAATATAGAGAGAATTGTATTATTGATAGATTGTATTGAATTGTGTATATTACAATTACAAGGATTCCTATTATATAGGAGTGTGTTTGGGAGTAGGTGGAGAGGTGGAGTAGGTGAAGTGGAGGTGGTAGTGGTGTAGTGGGTTAGGTTTAGTGGAGTAGGTGAGGTGGTAGTGGTGGTAGGTGAAGTGAAAATTTTAACAGCCCCCCGCAAACTCAATGGGGATAGGAACTAACCAACTTGAGTTTGGAGAGAGGAACAAACAAGAAAATAACATAAAAATAAAAAAGGATAGGGGACACTGTATGGTCGTGTCAGACCGGTGGTGAAGACTCTGAAAGGTGGTGTCATAACGTGGTAGAGGACACTGGATGGTGGTGTCATAACGGTGTAGAGGACACTGTATGATGGTGTCATAACGTGGTAGAGGACACTGGATGGGTGTGCCATAACGGTGTAGAGGACACTGTATGGGGGTGTCATAACGTTGTAGAGGACACTGTATGGTGGTGTTATAACGGTGTAGAGGACACTGGATGGCGGTGTCAGACCGATGTAGAAGACAGTTTATGGGGTCATGTCGGACCGTTGTAGCAGA